GCAGTTCACCGAACTATAATGCTTATGATCAAAGGAAATAGGATAATAATCCTCAGGTAAACTAAAAGGTGGACAACGATTTACACTAATCTCGGAGAAATTGGCAAAGATCAAGAAGTCTACCATTACAATTAGAAGTACGGTTGTATTGAACTACATTATGATCAGATAATTCGTTAAAGAACATAACAGCTCTATCAGATGTTGAAGTATGAATCAAACAGCCAGTGGTATCACTGTAACACCAAGTGAGTTGACGCAAATTATCCAACAGGGAGACCTTTTTCTTATATATGGAGATATCCGAATTTGGGGGAATATTTTTATTTTAACAAAAAAATTTTTAATTTTTTTATTTTTGGATTTTTGTCACAAAATTTAGTCTGTCTCTCAATAGGGACTGGATCTGATCCAATTATCGTTGATGAAAATGATTTAAAAATTATTTTTTAAATATTACCGAAAACAGTAGGCGGTAGAGGGTCGCCGGGATTGGTGCGGAGTTAGCTCAATAGCTAGCTTGGTAAGAACGTTTCTGACTTAGTTGCTAAAGGTATTTCAAATCCTGAATGTTGTGCGATTTTAGTCTTGTCGAAACTTGAGAAAACGCTGAAGGCAAACATATAAACATATCTTCAGACCTTTTATTCTCTTATTACCTTAAGAATTCTGAGATGTTTACCTTAAAAGCGATAAGCAACGCCGGAGCAAGGTCGCCTCCACCATGGTGGTATCCAAACCATGGTGGTATCCAAACCTGTCAATACTCTTCTGCTAATGTCAAGGAAATCACTAAATATGCCATTACCGCCAACTTTATTGAGTATATAAAAATACTGAAGTAACGGAACTCCGCAATTAGGGTTAAAAGGAAGCATAAAATTATCACAATTAAAGAGATGTGTATCAGCGGCAATTCGCGTTTCTTTTGGATTTATATAGATATACTTAAGAGTTATATTTTAAGTGACAATCAGACGATGGTATCTCAAGATTCCTTTTGCTAATCTCAATAACACAACCTTCTCCTTATGTAAACAAACATTTATTTTAAAATCCAGGACGAGGGTTACTGGCGCATGTGGTTAAGGAGTCAGATACGACTTGGCACTCTCTGGGGAAAGCATATTTTTGATCAGCGTAAGATTCAATGTGCAGTTGAAAAAAGAAAAACTAAAAATGCATTCAAGGGATGATTTATATGATACACATTGATACTATTAAAAATAGAAAGCAAAGTATTGAATGATGCAGTTTTTTTTCTACGCAGTTACTTTCTTTTCATCCAACAACAAATTAAATCAAAAACGAAGTCAGATTAAACTTGTGCCGAATCCGTCTATGGATACCGGCATAGGACGTATTGATTTTTATTCTAATTTTGTCTTATATATATATACGGCATGTTATAATCCAAGACAATAGCGTATTCTTCCGGTATTAATAGGACAGATTTTCAATTTTATACCCATCACGAAGGCGGTATAGTCATTTTGTCACAATATTTGCAACACCGAAAAAAAGCTTGAAAGACACTTCAGTGTACATATTTTTGATCAGCGTGAAATTCTGAACGGTTTAAGCCATGTCGTCCGCCTTTGCGAGGGTGTGGTGTGTGTTGTTGACTCTTCTCGTCGCTAAAATGAATATAATTTTCGTAAAACCGTGGAAGTATCTGCACGCATATTGGTATTGACAATGGGCCAAATTGGTGAAGGCACACGCCCGCAGTAAAACGTGAAGTGAACGTAACTATAAATTTGTTAATCGTTGATATGTTAATTTGCTTCAAATTTTTAAAAATTAGTCATAATTAGTTATAACGTATGGCTAGGGAACTGTCGGGAACACAAATCAGATCTAAAAGTGTGGGGCGTAACTTGTAGGCCAGGTGTCTACCCATTTCGAATCAGTAGTTGATATCGAGTCACGCAACTGCATGGCACGCAAAGTTACAAGTCAATATTGAAAACATCACAAAGCATTACGTGTTTCTACGAAATTGCTATTGAACTATCCTTTCGTTCCCGGACTGTAATATAGCCTTATAGTTTAAACATTATGTAATATAAAAAGCGATACCCCCGCCTTTGTCTTTATAAGTTCTGAAACTCGTTCGGAAAATATTGAAACTAATTTGAGAAAACTTTCTCTCGCTGTGCAACTTGAAGCGGGTAGCAGTTATACAAACAACGCCAATTAGTAAAGCATGCAATAGATAATTAGAATAATCAAATCTGGTCTTATTTAAGCTACGCACATTAATATGACATAGTTGAAATTCTTTACGCGTTCCACTAAAAGTCTTCAAGACTATCTTTATGTTAACACTACATGTATATTCGTTTCGATCATCCATCACATTCAACCGCCTGTTTAACCAGATTTAAATTGTCAAAAAAATTTGACCATCGTTTGCTCATTGTAGGGTGATTAATATCAATATGTAGAATAAACTGATCACTTGACGTAACACAATTAATACACTTAGCAACGAGTTCTTCATCGCATCCTCTTAGCTTGTAGTTACTATGACACTTGAAACATATATCTTGATTTTTGCAGTCCTTAACATAATGGTTACATCCTCTATACCTGTAGCACACAACAACCTCCGCACCGTTGTATATTGGGTTAATCTCCCAATCAACTAAGCTAAGGGCTAAGTTCGTTTTCCTTCAATAATTTCGTTATCCTTTCTCCTCCCATCATGATCATGGCAACCATTATTCCCACAGTGAGCTTTAGAAATTTTCAAAGCTTGGGATTAAACGTTTCATTTAGGTCAGGCTTTCTTTTGTCACTTTCCCGCTAATTTCTTGGCTTCGTTTTTAAAGGAGTTTCGATTTTGATCACTGGAATCTTAATAACATCCATGAATATAGTTAGCTTTGGCTGTACATTTCCATTAGCTTTCTTAATTATATTGTTTGGCTTGCTACCCAGTGATCAGCTCAGCTGAATACCAGTTTTCAAGTGTTATTTATTTGATTATTTCGAGGGAGCAACTTACTGAGTGAATCATTAACGCCATTAAAATATTTAAGATCTTTGATGCTCTCCCTAAATCGCTTTCACAGTTCGTTCAAAAAATTTCCAAATACCTAATATGATCTTCCTCTTCTTATCAATGCGGTCGAAATCGCGATCTTCCATCAACTTGGCAACTTTATCTTCATTCTTCTTCATACCAACTTTCGACGCAGTTTCCCAATTGTTTTTTTATTTAACCAATTTAATATCGTTCTCATCAATTCATTGGTTTATGCAATAGATATTTGGTATTAAGATAGAGTGAAGATTCATTCACTTGATATATCGTATAATAAGCAAAACAAACACTTCTGTGTCCTTTCTTACGAAGTGTTGAAGCGGCATCTCGGTAGAAAAATTTGCGAATTTCAACCAAAGTATGCTGTTGTGATTAAAGTGTAGGGAGAGTGTGGTGGAGCCAGTAAGATAGAACTTGGAAGCGGCTTAGGAGAGCACATATATGTACTTCACGTCCGAAAATTCTCTTATTCTTACTGTGTGTTTTCTCAAATTGTGAAGCTTTTCTGTTGTATATTTGTACCCACGAGAAACTCGTAATATACCACAACCAGGCCATCCCTACAATGGCAAGTCCATATAATGTAGATGATAAGGTTTTATTATTGCTAGATTTAAATACTATATTTGTACCGTTAAGATCATCGTAACTGACCCGGGGACAAAGTAATTCTCTGATATTATTAGAGCAGTAGGCCATGGAAACACAACACTTGACACAACTCAGCTTCAACACGAGGGTATCTGATTGATTCTTAGTTAATTCTAAATTTTAAAAATCATTGATTCATTAAATAAAAATGTTCCTATTATTTCCGTAATGTCATCTATAATTTTACGCGAAGCTTTCACTAGTGGTACCAAGTACATTAAATTTTTGCGGATGTAAGGAACACTAAGAAGGCTTACTTGAGGTAGATTCATCTCTTTTTTATACAAAGTGATTTTAAATCGATCAAAGCTTGATTGTCCGTTTATCGGTGTTGTATTCTATTTGATGCTGATGGTACGCTTAGATATTTTGGCCCAAGGGCGAACGCTGTTGAAAATCCTACGGATCGAATCAATTTTGAGATCACTTGCGATACAACGCCTTATTTGCAAAGGTCGCTATAAGTATAACTGTATTCAGGAAAGTAGTGTAAGGCTTTTAAAGGTAGGGCACGGCGCACTATAATGATTTTACTTGTCTTATTACGTAAGTTCTCAAAAGAAGGTATAACTTTAAAGGTTCCTATTATGTTATAATAGGATATAATTTAATTTGTTTGTTACTTTATCTGAAGGAGAAATACATTTTTGAGATAAATTGGACAAAGGCGTTATTAGCCTTAATCGATTCAAGACTGTATATGCAACGTTTTGAGGTTGCCTTTTCGAAACCGTCATGGGAGTGGGAATTGTTCAAATTTGTAACTACAGTTTATTTCCACTAACTGAAAGTGGTGTCAGTGGGCTATCATTATAAGTCGTTCTGACAAGCGGAGAAATAAGTGTTTTCTGAAAAAGTTTGAATTTAGATGTAAATGTATTTTCTGTGGATTAAACGCACAAACACAAACAGTAAAGAGCAAGTTGCAGAATTGCAATATCGCAACAACATGTTGTTGTTGATTCAACATTCCTCTCTACGGGCATGTGGCTACTTTGCTTGACAGAGGTCGCTTAAATATACGAAAAGTTAAGGAAGTATCTTTTTCGCCGTTTTAAGCCGTTGACCGTCATTTTGTGCGTAAATGAATTTTATTGCTTTAACTTTTAATTAGTCGTTGTTAGTATTTCAAAAATGGTAAAAATGAAGTCGGAATTTAACCAGCACCTCCTCTAATTTTAATGTTCAAATATGCACGTAATGGATACACATGAGCCAATAGCTCAAAACCTGAAACTTTTTCACTAATATATGATATCCAATGGCCAACGTTAAAAAAATGTTGCCACATACTTACCAGAAACATTTAGCAAATTTTGTGGTAGTGATCGAGATCTGGTTTAGCGTCATATTAATAAGGCATTGTGTTATTGTTTTATCTTCGTATGTAAAAAATTTCACTATTTGCTTCCTTTTCTCGGTTTTTATTTCAATATTTTTCATAAACGAAGAACTATGCTACAAGGCGCACGCTTGATGAGAAGATCTACTTTTTCTCTTTAGTTCTAAGCCCTCATAGCGAACAAACACTCAATATGAATGTATATCAACAATTAAACGACTCTTCCCGTACAAGTTCTTTTTAGCACCATTCTCGCCTTTACTAGTTATGATTAATACGTTATTTGCTTTAAATTCAATTAAGTTTCAATTAAGCTCCAGATAAATTTTCATCTTAGCCGGCATTGTATCACTGAGCGACCATTGGGAAAATAAGCTATTCAATTTTTATATATTTTTATTTTAGGGAACTTGGAAAATTTTTTAGAAGGAATTATCCGTGATATTTTTGTACACAGTTAGTTCTTTGAATTTTTTGTCGACATTACAGAACCACTTAACTGTATTGGATATACACCGTTAGTTGCTTATTCGGTACAAATGATTCAATCAATAAATATGTACATATATATCTACATATTTATATATATATATAATAATAATAATTTAAATTGACAGACCTTCTGGAGAAACATGGAATTATACAGCAAAACATATTCTTTACATTTTTCGCTTTTGTTTTTCTACGCAACCCACGGCCAAATAGAGTAGCTTCGCAAACAAGCACATGCCCCTTGTGCTTTTTGAACAATGCTTGAAATTCATAAGAGTAAATATGAAAAACGTCATTTGAAGTAGAAAAACTAAACTAACAAGAAAGTTATTTTTGGCTTGAAGCGAATTTCAGATACGCATAACCTTAACTTAATTCTATTTTTCTATTATTTGCGGTCATGTCAGTAGGTCGAAGGTGATTGTTGAGGCAAATATGACATTGACGTGATGTGAATACGATATGAATAATTCATCGCCGCAAATTCAGTTAAGTGCAAGCGAGAACAATGCTGGGACTCCGAAATTGGGAATAGGTAATTGAGTACAAGAGCAGACGACAACAATTAAATGTAACTCAACATATTGCGAGGGAATACGAAATGTTTTTATGAAATATTGAAAACACAGTTTTTTATATAATTGCTTCAAATCGTAAGCGCTGTCATAACCATAAGCTGAGATACACTGATCTTTGCTCGCTGGCAAGCTTTGCACTTTAATACGTGATAATATTAAAAAAAAAAAAAAAGTGAAAGAAGGAGTTCAAAAGTATATTGAACGCTTCGTCTCTCTGAGCAATCATAGGGGAATGTATTTATTATATATATCTACATGTAGTTTTTACAATTTAATAATAAAACTTAAAATACCATGTCTAATACGAAGTTCATGATTTTATCTTTTCTGTATTAAAAATAAAAAAGAAACAGAAACAGAAAACTAATGTTATAACTTTGCTTGTGAATTGTGGTCTTAAACAGACTACTGAACGTTGTAGTCTAAGAATTATTGGAATGAAATCTTCATAAAAAAGTCCGTATCGACGCACATCAAGGTTATTTGCACAGTTGTCTTTCATTGCATTACATTGACGTTACTATTCATTAGAAAGTCTTAGCTACGTTTTCATACGTCGAGAACGTACATAGAAAATTCATTCAATTCAATAATTCAATTCTTTCTCTGCATATATGCCGTTTCCGCATATTGTTTCGCCGTCTTGAAATTAGAATGACATTCAGGTTTTTTTACCGCATAGATAAACGTTCAGCAAAGCGTGGCAACGGTGACATGACAGCTACTGTCTCAGGCGAATTTTTGTTCGTGAAAGTATCGCCTGCAACATATCCTACAAATCAAACGAGCAATAGCTACGTCCGCTTTTCATGTTATGCTACAAAATTCGAATTATCCACAAAGTGAATAGTGGTGGGTTCTTTCACTACGAATGAGTTTTCGAACAAAATCATAACCCAATCAGACAAGGTTTACATCACGCAAGGTGATTGTGCGGCTTCGCTTCTTCAAACAAAGCAAACGTATTAAAATTGAAATGTTTTCCTAACAAACGTCACCGTTTCTTTGCCAGGTGCAAAGCTTTTGAGATCTGCAGTTAATCAGTTCAAGTTATCACCAAATCAATGTAGGCTCATTTTATTCGCGTGGGAATATTATCGAGTGTGTATCTCGATTAGATGAATATAAACTTCATTAATTATCATTAGCAGTAGAAAGAGAATTTCTCCGATGAGCCGAAATTTATGTGAAGTTATGTGACAAGTTAGAAAAAATACAAAATATTAAAAAGAGGGAATCTAAATGGCGCTCTCTTACGCCATATATATATACATATATTTATATATATATTTTCATATATATTTTCAGGAAAGAACGTCGCCAAAATTCTTGTAGTATAAACCATTGCAATTATAGATCCTGGACTTACTGTTTTGCGACCCCCGTCGTTTGTCTTGAAAATTTATGTTGCGTAAAAATGCTAAGCAGTAGGACCGATAATAGGGTAGGCACAAGAAGAATAGCGTTCACGTAATTGTCTCCATCTAGTACTTTAATGGATATTAACTTCACATTGACAGGGCCGCTACATAGCTGGCTTATGTTAATCGATTAACATTCTTGCTCAACACGCGCAAATAAACGAATCAAATCAATCAGCTCTTATAAGTATAGAAGCGAATTACTTTAACTATTTAAATGGAAACAAATAATTAACCATATTTGCTTTTGATTCAACTTCACAGATCCAGAGATGATCGGTGCAATAGGGCTTTTTGAAAAGCAATTTTGAGGAAAACAACTAAAATTTAAATAAAAATTTCAATGATCTGCAAAATGCAGTGCCTGCAGCGGAATAAATTTGAATTAAACATGATTTTACCGAATAGAGCGGTATTTATTTTCTTGCTGCCTTTTATGAAAGTTTGCAACAAAATATCTGTACTCAATTCAAAAATTGTTTCGAAATAGGATAACTCTTAAAAAATTTGTGCTAAAGTTCGGTTCTGCATTAGACTAATTAAAAAACCAACCCAAACGACACGCAAGACGGTGAAAGGATCCATATTAACATTGTCCTCACACCTTATCATTATTTCGAACAAGATAGTATCGCATCTGCAGTATAAACGTAAATCTAGTTAATCCTATTTCCGTCTTCCCAGGGAAACCTCACTTCTTCATCCTAGAGAAAGATCACTTTCACTAATTTCTGCTGAACTCGACTGTTTAAAAAGCTATTTACAACGTCAATAGGCGGGCTAAGGTGTGACTTTATCACGAATTTTTCTAAAAAACATTTTTTGAAATTCAATAACGGTGCCTTAAATATGTTTGTGTAGAAGTAAGTGGATACTCGAAACGCTTTACGATTTTTTCTTTAAACACAAGTTTGAATTTTTTCCACTATTTTTAAAATGGTGATATATGTAGAGGACTTTCGATAAATCAATTTGTTTTTAACAAATGATTACCTCATCCTTGGTCAAAAATTTAAATTCGAATACTCTCCAATTACACAAAAATCAATGCTTTCAAGATCCCCCATGTACATCTATAGCTAGAAACAGTAAATTAGGTGATTTTTCCTTTTTCGAAGTCAAATTTGGACTAGCTACCTTACGTTCAGCAGAAAGCCTTAAGTAAAAGATGCCTCGCAAGCAAAAATCGGATATCTTCATTTTTCAATATAAATAACACAAATATGGGTAATGGCCATCTTATTATCGCGTTGCTTTTCTTTCCCTCCCAAAAAAGTTGTCAAAAAAACACACTTTTAGATTGCTACAATGGCATTAGTCCTTAAATTCAAAAAGCTTTTGGTACAATGGATGTCTGGATTGTTATTTGGCAGAAAATGGAAGGAGAATAGTTTCCAATGTGGAATGAACAAGTTACCAACTACCAATGCGACTTGGATCATCACAGATCCGAGCTTCAGAGTCCGAACGACGGTTGCTTGGTCAAGCGAAGCCAGAAGTCGAGCGAGCCGAAATGAATGAGGACAAGATTACTGTGCTCTGGCACAAAGATGAGATCGTGCCTATTGATATATTGAAGACGCAACTGACTAATGTAATTTTTAACAAGTGAAACCATTCTGTCAAAAAAGAATTCCAAAAATTCCAATCGGCTCATCCTATCTTCTGAATTTTCATTCAAGCTTTATTCTTTCTTTAAAACTCTATCAACGTCACAGATAACGGTTTGACATGTTGTTTAGATATTTGTTTGACATGTCAGAAGATGCAAACCATATCACAATTTATCCACTGATTTAATTGCATTAAAAGAAAGGCACTTGAAAGAATCGCCTCGTAAGTGTAGCTTTTTCAATTGTTTTGCCATTAAATATTTTATTTCAATTTAAATATGTTTTGCCATTAAATATTTTATTTCAATTTAAATATGTTTTGCAAAATATTGATGCCGCTTCGCGGTGGGTAAAAGTAAAAAGCAATATAATCAATACTGCTTAATACTTTGCAAAAATCGTTCAACTCCTTTAGTAAACGTTTTCGCCAATATTGATATGGTAGGTCCACAGTTATTTTCGAGACCATCAACGCAAGCTCTTAAAGTGATCCGATAAAGTACTTCCTCTTGTAAGCCAGTAATTTTGTACGAATGTTTATTGCCAGCTATTTTTTTGCCCTCGTAGTATTCGCGAGCCTGACATTGATTTTCCTTTTGAAATTGTACTGTGGCTTTAGGGTTCTGACATATCGGTTTCGGCTTTGGTATGAGAAACTGATCTGAGCCGGTATCTTGTTCTCGTAGAGACTCTTCTTCTTTTCGATGTTGGTATTTTTGAAAATTTTCTTTTTCTTTAACTAGTTCGGTCGAGTTGCGTTCTTTTGCTCGACTCTCGAGTTCCTCAACTGGTGCCCTGAAGTGATCTTGTGAAGTGATGTCAAACAAATATGAATTGAGCCATTAAATTCAAACTTACGGTACATAAATGAAATTTGATAGAGCTTCGTCATAAATTAACTGCTCTTTATTATAGTAACCTTCGTCGGTGGGAGTGGGCCCGCTTTCTTCGGGAAGCACATTTGAACATTGACAGACTTCCGAAGCACTGTCCTCCTTCTGTACAGTTGGAATGAAATTTTTCAATGTGAAATCTGAGAAAATTTTATAATTATTATTATTATCATAGTTTATTTAAATTGAAGAGAGAAATTCCAGTCCTAAAGGTATGATAAGCACTAGCAACTAAGTCTATCGGCTCTTTTTTTAAAAACGTTTGACAATTCTTTAGGGTTTTGGCATTCCGAATGTATTATGTATGCTTATTTGTAAGATACTATTTAATTGTAGATTTCTTAAGTAACTGTTGGTGTGTTGCAATAGCATGACCAAGGCGAATTCTTGCAAATGTTTTGATCTTGATTCTTTCGACCTTAAATAGATATAGTGCTCGTTCAAGTGCTCCCAAGAGAGCAACGTATATCGGTATCCACAAAATTTTTATCTCATCTCCGTAAGTTGAAATGGTTTTCTTTATTTAATTAAATGTGTTCCAAATGAAATGACGACGCTTCGGAAATCTTTTACTACCGACAGACAATCTCTGATAATAATCGTTTTAAGTTTAATTTTGCTAGCACGGTTTGTAGATTGCAGGATAGATCTACCTTCGGTTATAAGAAACTTTAATGCAAATTAGATAAAACTATTTATCTGTTACTTATTTTAGACATCAACATTCTTTTGAAAAGCTTCCAGTTACAGTTGATCTTATTCGAAAAATAAAAAAAATTGATTTTAAGAACACAAAGAAGTTCGAATAACGAAAGTGTAATCTTTACAGTCGGGTGAGCTGATGTACATATAGCTCGTAAAGTGTTTTATACTTCATTAGTATGGATCTTTTACTTAAGATCATTGCTTAGAAAAAATGCGCAAGATCTTATTAAGTTGAAAATACGAGATCTGACAAGCGAGCGCGGCAAGCAGCAATGAAGGGAAAAATCTAGTCGTATTCTTGGTTCAATGGACTCGATAAACAGACTTAAGAATTAGCAATTAGGAAAATTATACATATATTCGATTGTAACCGAATCTTTTATACCGATTACCGTTCTTCATATCATCGTTATCCTAAAAAAGATGAACAAAGGCAAAAATATAAATTTTTGTGTTCTATGATATTGGAGGAGGCGGTTGCTTTTTCCACTTTCAAAATAAAAATAATATTTATACGTGTTTTCCTTTTGCGTAGCAAGCAAAAAGGACGGAAAGTAAAGATGTTCACACTTTTTGTTGCTTAACAGCGTGAGCGCTGTAGATATATCCTTTGACCGATTTGGATCATTTGCAATTTCTTTTGAAAATGGTTTGCAGACGGGCAGACGGACAGATAAGCAGACTAACATGCTCAGGTATATTCCCAATCTGCAATTAGGCAAAAATTTATACACTTTCGCGGTTTCTGAAAATGTTTGGTATGCGTGGTCAACTTTTCCAATTTTTTACAGCTACTACAGCATCGACCGTAGAATATAAGTTCACATTTTTATAAGTCCATCTGCTATGGTTTGTGGGTAATAAGCACAAAACCAATTTTTGCCTTATAAAAGCTGAAGGCGTTCATTGTTTATATGGTGCTGTAGGCGTCGATTTTGAGCAATTTCGCCCATTTTCAAGCTGCGCGCAAGAGCTTCCATTGTTTCTGCCAGATTTGAAGTCGACAGCTTCATGTTTGTGGCCGGGAGAACGTTTGCAACAGACATCACAAAGATGGACAAACATACATGCTTAAGTTGATCCGCAATTTGATGTTGACCAAGAATATGTATACCTTATGTGGTCTCTCAAGTACCCCTTTGGGCATTGCAAGCGTGTTGGCAAAATGAACATACCCCCCATCCTTCGGTGATAGGTACAAAAATATTACACAGAAACTGGATTAGTGAAACTCGGCCCGTTTCAGGGATTTGACGGATGCTCAAGAAGAGCAAAATTAATTTTAGTACTGATCAACGGACTGTATTTCAAAGATACTAAGTTAACCATTGCATTCGTAACAGCGGAAAATATGTAGCAATATGTTTATATTTCTTCTCCCTCGTCATCCTCCCTATCTATCAACCTGTTTATCAGTCCACTGCTTGAAAAGCTGTAAGCGTTTAAGGGTAAACTAACGAAAGTTATTTTAATGATCTGAAGCTGGAAAGTAACAAAGAATTTCACGGTGCTGTGATCATTAATCGTTTGATAAATCGTAGCAGTCGTCAGTTGTTATTACTATCTAACGGAATTATACGACGGTGGAAAAACTTGATTTTCATAAATTGTTTGAAACACCATAGAAAAACAAGTCTATGGATCTTGTCAAGTCGACAGACAGTAACCCACTGTCTTGATTTACCTGTCAGAAAGCAGGGAAAGCTCACGCACACACTAAATTTTTTGATAGTTTTCTTAAATTTTTTAAATAAGTAAATGTGTTTGTAAAAAGTAGGTTTCGAATGTTATAGCTATTGTTAATTACTTGAACCATAGCCGTTTTCGTTCACTGCTTCGAACGTTAGTATATAATGTTTTATGGCTCCATTGGGATAACGGGGAGGCCACCAATATACTTCCTGCAGTAAATATAATAGTATTTTTATTATATCATTTATTTAATTTCTCTAATAACTTACAATTTCTTGAGCGTTTAAAGGACGATGAAAAATTTTGGCAGGCGGGCTAGGTTTGGTTGGCAACGTAGAAAAATATTGAACTTTAGAATATGCGTCCACTTGATTATGATAATCCGTAATAGTAAGAGTTTTTACAAAGTAAGCATATTGCGTGTATGGACGTAAATCAGTTAAAATGTGTCTTACATTCTTACCGGCCGAAAAGTCCATATGCCAGCTTAAAGTGTTTTCAAATATTTATTTAATTGTTTTAAGTAAGTAGGTAATTTTATGATATTACTTATCGTAGCCACAGCCATGCCGACCGTCGTACATGGTTACGTTGCGTACCGGTGCAATCTTGTAATAATAAATATAACCAATCAGTACATCCTTGTCCTCAGCTGGCATAGGATTTACTTTGATGCGCACTGAATTGGAATTGTAATCTTCTACCGTAGCATTCAGTTCATGAACATTATTACCGCCTTGGGCATAGTTATGAAAAGGAAGCAGAAAGGAGAAAAAGAAATGAGAAGGAAAAAAAAAAAAACGGAAAATCAATTTGAGTATCTAGCAAATTAGCCACAGGGATTACTGCTTACAGATAACACGTTCACCGTTTGAATGGCGGGACGCGTCGCTTATTGTTATATTACCAACGGATGTATCTTTTAGTTGAGGTTGCAGTTGCAATATCTTTTCATAACACAATCGTGAATTCAGATGAAAGAACACACGGCCCTTTAAAATGGCAACCTTCTGTTGCCATAAGTCTTCCAAGTGATAATTATCCACCACATAAAGAGAATATCTAGATAAAAAATTAGCCATTTATGATGAATGTTCAATTTGTACTTAAGAATTACGCACTTCTTGTCAATTAATTGTTGGCCGCCTATGATGTGTAATTTCTTCAGAAAATTTAACGACAACACTTGAGGTGAACGAAGAATTTTCAAATATCCGGATATTTCTTTTATGTTGCCTAAAAACTTTTCCAATTGCGTTATCAATTTTGCTAGAAACGATTTATTGATATTAAGAACACTACTATTAACGACACTTGCATTGGTTATAGCAGTTAGACTTACTTTTTTTATCAAACAGTTCAAGGGTTAGTGAGCCGTTAATTATTTCGCAATCAGTTAAGCTTTTTAAATCGCTTTCATTATTAACTATGAAATTTCCAGTACAATTTATTTTGCACGTTCGGAAACCTTGTGAATCGTTCTCTTCTTGATGATTAGGGGGACAAGTCTCTCTACACACTCCTTCAAATGGTATTAGACCCAGTTCATGGCATCTCCGAGGAGTGATACATTCACGTTTATTTAGCTAAAGTACATGTTCAATAAGGTGACTGGTTTAATATTAACGAACACTTTCAATATCGGGAACTGCAAACTTAGATTTATTCAATTTTTGACTATAATTGAAACATGGATTCGTCACTAAACTTTGGTGTCAAATCGGCGGTCAGGCGAAAACCGTCTAAAGCGACCAAAATTGCAGGGTCACTAAAGCAATCGCAGCTTGCCGTGAAATTTTTGAAGGTTGGCGCTACAAAATATTCATAGGGGTTTGTCAGCAGTGCTGCCATGCCGGTGATTTTTTTTAGCGATGTGACAGTAAGTGAGAGTTGGATGATTGAAGGGAGAAAAAGCATGAATTTAGCGCCACAAGTGTTCGCTTCTGCGTCGATGTAAACGGCTCGCCCGCTTTGCACGAAAATGGTCGCAACTATGATTGCCGTATATTATTAGTTTTTTTTATCACTCATTACGATTCAGAAACACACTTCTTGCTATTAAATAAGAAAAAAAAACTCTTCCCGCGAATATTGATTTTTTGACGCATAACGGTATATGAGAGAATAAACATTTGCATTAATTGCAATCTTGGACCATTATGTTACTGTTCGCACACTTGAGAAGTCTTGGCTGTTCCTGCCAGATAATTTGATTTGTAAGGTGAAAATACATGGTAAGATTGTAACTTGCAAATGCTTTCGTATTCTGTTCTAAAATTTTTTTTATTCTCAATTTTTAACATGAACTATGGAGAGGGCGAAGGTAAAGCAACACTCATCCGAATCTTGATAGTTTGTAAAAGGGTTTTTATAGGCCGAAAGACTGGGTTTTTTCTTTTCCCCTTTAGGTGACGAGAAGTTTTTTTACAATGTTTATCAGATTTCTCTTAAAATTTGTATTTAAACCTTGGCCTAAACCCTAGATAAGGATATGAGATGCGCGCAGCCACTATCATCTGAAGTCTAATAAAATAGCAAAACTATCTTAAAATGGCCATGCTATCGAAGCCAGTCGAAAGGATCGAAGAGATCGCTCAAAGGATTACAGAAATTCATTTTCCCCAACGTCCCAAATCATAAATATAACACTTAAACCGAATATGGTAAGGGTTCTCTTTTTCTTCACTGACTCAATTGATGGCGGTAACGTAACGAACCACAGATGACAACGCTGACTCGAAAGATGAAATACCAAGCAATTGTTGAGACTCAACGTGCTAAACATTTTCTAAAAGCAAAAAATCTCAACTTACCTTGACGTTAAAAATACAGGTATCCTTACAGTTTCGGTCTCCAAGAAGGTTTCGGCATTTCTTCTGAGCTGATGGAAGGAGCTGCTGCTGGGGTTTTCCAATGGACCAACAATGCTTAATTTTCGAACAAGTGGGACAATAATTTGGCGATTTATTGTTCTATAAAATTTTTACAAAATTATATATTATAAATAGATTGAAGTTATTCTAAAAAGTTACCTTCAACACAAATGAGGTAGCGCTCCCAGTTATTGATATCCAATCTATCGTATCTGTGAAGCAAAGATTCGGATTTGATGCTATACGTACTGATCCATCCAGAACTTGTTTTAAGGATATTAGACCAATATTTTGTAATTCTCGATTTTCATATAAAACCAAAGCGTAGCGGTCAAATAATAAATCGGCTCCTCGTATTATTTCTAATTTTGGTAATAGTCTTTCCAAAGTATCCAAACCATTTACTCGATAGATTAACAGATAATCAGTGATTTCTTCCACATTCGCTGCCGTCAACGTTTTTAACATATCCTTTGTGAAATACAATTCGACTATGCTTACATGACCCACTACTATCGTGCAATTTTGCATTCTGTTAAAATCCTCTATCGATCTTATGGTTATTGCTTTGCAGATGTTTTCTGTTGCCATGTTAGCAGTAACCGTAATCATGAAAAAGTGTATGGCTAGCATTAGAAGCCAGCGAAGCAATGAATTCATTTTTTTCATTTAAAGACAATATCAATTAACTTTTGACCCGTTGATCTTAAGCTTTCATCAATAAGCGAAATTCAATGGCATCGATGAGTTTGCTGTTTGCCTTTTTAGACTTTTGCGCTTTATTTTCTAAATTCACTATTGTCCGGTATTCTGGTGAAAAGCGTATTGTTATTCACTCTGGCAAAGTTTGTTACGCACTGACCACCGGTGAAATGTTCGTATAGTCACTCAAACCCATACATTCGACTGAGAACTAATTTCAAGTTGCAAGCATGTACTCATCATATATGTTGAGGCGACTCATGAGAATATTGCTTATATAAAGCGAATTGAATGTCATGCTTGTATCCCTCTGAGCGTTGTTTGTGTGTACGTGCATATCTTCCCGTTAAGCTAACCCACAAATTTACCGATTCACCTTTCACTATAAACTTGGGTTATGACAATCGGAAGGATTTATTTTATTCCGTTGCATCATTCATGTTTCATACATTTTCCAGCCGCTCTGCAATCATGCTATCTAATAACGTTCAAAAAAGGAAAAAGCAAAAAAGCAGTTACGGTCACGGTTGCGATTAAAAGTAAGTTAGTTGATTTCCAGGACTTACTGTGTCAATTCATTTATTTATAATAAATAACGATTTAATTATTTATTGCATTCTTTTTGGATATTGTCTTTGATGTTTTGTGCTCATTGATATGTAAAAGGAAATCGTTCTTTTATTACGACGCACGTCTTAAGATAATTTAATTTTTAGTTTTCAAAGAAGAAAAAAATAATTTGTTTTTTTTCTATCTTTTGCTCCAATGATATCCGCTTGCCTTTTAACCGTCACGATAAGCCACACGAAACATTAAAATTTTATTTTTTGGGTTATAGTGGTCTCGTTGAAATAGTTATTGAGCTTTTATTGTAAGAGAATAATGCTGAATACGTAGCCATACCATGACTGTATAAGTGATAACAATTTTTATCACAGATAGTGGCGCGATGCGAACCGTCAACGAAAGCTGATCCTTCGGTTAACGTAAATTGCAGAAATCGAACAGACAACAGCGGGACTTTTATGTAATATCTAATCGATAGTGTTATGTTAGCCAAAGTATAGTTGTATGTATTGGACGCGTCAATATGATTGAGAACGCTTCATCTTTTTAAAGCAGCACGTATCATCAGATGTGTAGTTGGTCAGCCAAAAGAAACCAAAGACTTTAGATTTCTCGAAGTTTACAATTTAATGAACCCATCGATATGTGGCATGAAGGAGAAATAACTAAAGCAAAGCTAATGGTTTTTCAAAGTTTTTAAAATCTTAGTAACGTTCATATAACAAAGAGAAATTGAACACAGTGTTCCTAGGTCGTAATACTAAATCGTTTTCTAAGCAGCGCACATAACAACGATTTTTTGGTTTTTTGGATTTTACGTCACTTAGAGAATTTTACGGCTGCAATAGTTCGAAAATAATGGGCGAAATTGCCGTCCATAGACAGAAGCACAGTATTAAAGAAAAATTAAAGTGTAATTATTCGTGTATACTTAAGCAACCAACTAGTCTTCTTTCAGATGGGTTTAGCAAAGATGGACTTCTTTGCAAAATGCTATTTCCATAGAATATTTTAATCCTTCACTAGGACACATGGAAGTGTTTTATGTATGTGGTGGTAGTCATGTAGTTAAATTGCAAAATCGAATTGAAAAGTGAAGTTAGTACAGTTCGCTCGTCTTAGTAATAGTAAACCAAAAAGTACAGATTATTTTCATGCAAAGCCACGTTTTTCATGAAACCCCGCATATTGGAAGACTACGTTGTTTTTCTATATGAAGGCTTGCGTTTTGTGATAGCGTCGTTGGGGTCCAAAAAAATAGACCTATGTGATCCAGATTCCCTATCGTTAATTTTTTTGTTGAAACGCTACTATGAATTAATTTTCATCATAAAATAATAAAAACTTTTTTCATTAAACATCTTATATGGAGTGTGTACAAAAAATAGGCCCGCGTGGTTCAAATTAGGTTCACTTAATTGTGCTATTTAATTGCTATCATGAACAACAACAAAATTAACAATTAGGCTTTTTTGGAATTTACGTTTCATGAGAATGCTTGTATGCAGTGGCATTCAAAAAATAGACCTATGTGGTCCCTATTCACTAAAACACATTTCTTTGTCGATTTACTATTATGGGTCAATTTTCAGAATAGGGCGGTATGTGGGGAGTAGTCGAAAAAATGGACCGGTCTGAACCATTTTCAACAGCGTTCCTCCTAGGGCCTTGGTATGTCTGTGTACCAAATTTCATCAAAATATCTCAAAAGTTGCGGCCTATAGCTTGAACACAAAAATGCAGGAACGGATATCAGATGGACAGACGGACAGACAGCTTAGATCGATTAAGAAAATGATTTATAACCGATCGTATATAATGTAATAAACGGTGGGACTGTCTGAAGACCTTTTGGGTGTTATATACGTCCGCACGAGCTTAATATACCCTGTACCACAAGTGGTGTAAGGTATAATTTTTTTCAGGCGTGACCGCATCCTTTATAGCCATTCACCATTATCCTGAAAAGGCAAAACTAGTGCAAGTACTAGGATTTAATGGTCTATAATATGGAATAGGCGAAGCTGATTTTATTACTTTCAAAATAAAAGTGGTTATCGCAAAGCCCTGTGGGCGTTATAAGATCGCCATGAAGTTTAAGGTACTTCCAAATTCTTTTACAAATTTGTAAGCAATATCTTCGTTTCCTCTAGCTGGCGAATACATATCATAAACACTACGTAGATAAGCAGGCGGGCAGATGGATACACGAACAGACAGACACGTTTACGTGCATTTCGAATTTGATAAAAATTTGTTTATTATATGGGTACTACCTTGTTTCACATTTTTTTACAGGATCGCCTGTGTATGGACGTCTGTCCATTTGTCTGTTATGAACATTCTTGTAGTTGCAAAAATGAAGCTACCGGCTTCAAATACGCAGAAACATTTCAAGTTCTCGCTTGCAGCTGGTAAAACCAATAGGCTAAAAACACCATGTACACTGAGAACTCGACTATTTCCTAAAAGGAAGACATTTGTCTTTTGCTCATTACCCACAAACTTATAAAAATTTGAGAGATACTATAGTTCTTGTGCAAAAATTGAAAAAGTTAATATTAGAGAATAACAAAATTTCAGTTTTTTTGTGAAAACATTTTTAATGGGCAGAACCAACCCTCAGAAAAGCAAACATTCTTGACCACCATCAAATTTGAAATGTACTTAAACACGTCCGTCTGTTCTGCTGTGTAGTATATGTTTGGCAAATATTATTGCCTTCGCAAAAATGAAGACATCATCTTTGCATGTGCAGGAGAGTCGGAGAATGGGCCAGATCGGCCAAATGGCACGGCTACAATGTAGCAAAAAGTGAGAACAAATTTACTTTTCACTTGTATTCTACAAAAAAAAAAAGAAAGTTAATCTTGCACAGCCAATGACATAGAGTATATAAGTGCCTTTCTTTTTTCTTTTTTGGCTCTTTTTCATGATAACAGTGATGGATATAAAAGATATAACCGCAACCGCATGTAGGTTTCTTACTTGTTTCTAATGGACATTCAGGTGAAAAAATGTATACACTGAAATGAAAAGTATGCTGTGAATTAATTGATTAGTCTACGCGTACGCGTATAAGTAAAAGGAAATCACATATAATTGTTTCCTGAATATAGGTAAAACTAATTGAAGTATATTTTTTTTATACATTTTTTATATATCTACGATATAATGTACATTAAGTTTGCGCGAATGTTTATATCAGCCGATAGAATTATGGATAAATCGACCTTTTATTGCTTGCACATCTATTTGCTCCTTGGATGTGAATACGGGCGTTACCTTGTTTTAAAGAACACATTTATATGAAAAACACTTGGAATTTTCAAAATTTCTGAAGATCGTTCAGTAATAGCATTTTCACGGACTAAATTATTGTAAAAAATTTGCATCAGATGGAGCAATTTTGGAACTTTCTCTCATGTAACGAAAATAAGCCTTCGGATGATAAAAGGTGTAAGTTTTCATATTTTTTGTTGAATATATGTAAAAGATCTAACAGAGGACATATAAGGGAGGTTAAAGGGGTTCCTATTAAAAATAAGGGAATCCGAATTTGTTTCCTCTCTCCTCTCAAGAAGCATTTGTTGGAAGGAGCTAAAAATAATAAACAATTTCCCGGTTTTTTAACTTTTCTCCTATTTTTCTTAAATATTTGATAACTGTGAGTCATAAAATTATTTTTTTAAATAATTTTTTAAAAACAATTATTTCTTTTATAACGCTTTTTAGGCCGTACACTCAAATGGAGTCGATTTGAATTAAAAATTTAAAAAAATGTTAAATTAAGCAAATCAAAAAAATACTATGCGCTTAGCTAGAGAATGTCATTGGAACGACCACGCGATTAACGCGTTCACGGATTCCAAAAATTTCAGTGAGCTGCAACAATAGGCCGTTCTTTTTAAAATTGGCTGATCTACCCGAAATCTTTGCAAGCGCGCTCAGAATATAAAATGTATACATACAATAAACGCTGTAACATTCAGGACAACACAGATAACATTTTTCAAATAATTACTATTGTGTTAATGTTATATAATGTTAAATAAATTGTAATTGGCTTTAAAATTTGAATGCTATAGCATTCAGGATAATGAATATATTAGTTTCCAGTAGTTAACTTTTAAAGAAATTTAAGGAGTGATTTAAGTTGAAAAATCGAATTTTGAAATTACATAAAGAAATCGATCTGCCGTAAAGCTTAACATATAGGTAAACTGGAATTTTTTTCCATATTAATATTTTCGATTTATGGGAGCAATTAATAAAAGGTAAGGCAATCACATTAGACGTAGGCGAATCGTTCATATCCACCAGCTTTCTATTAAGAAAAACATACACACAGAAAATAAAATTTCGATACTCTCTAACATTGCGTGGGTGTGGCCAGTTTTGTAAAATTTTTCACAAACACTGTGGGACGACCTACAGAATAAAATAGATGGAAATGTTTACCGTCACCTGTTTAAATACATTTTTTATCTTTTGAAAAAGTAGGCGTACTCAGTTTACATTGTATTTTGAGCAGGTCTTTTGACCGATTTCGAACATTTTCAATATCAAATCGCTCGCAATAAGTTTCAATGTTTTTGCCAAATTTAACTCACAAAACCACCAAGCCACTGACAAATGAGTGGGCTCCGTATTTGGCTAGTAATAAATATACTTTGAAGCATCAGTGGAGCTTCCTTTTGCTTGTGCAATTTATATGTATTGCTGCAGGTTCGGCCATTTTTTTGTCGCTGTATCTGTGTAGTTTATAAGGAACGAATAAAGCCCACTATGTTTTCGAAAGCAGAAGTGATTTTACGTTTCTGTCAAATTTTAAAGCGATTGTTCAATCTTTTGATCAGAAGATTATTTGCCGCAGACCTTATAGGGATGGACAGACAGATGTACATTGATTGAATTAGAATTTGATACTTATAAAAAAATTTATATTTTATATGTGATTTCTGCCTTCTGAGTGATGCAAATGTCTTAACGCTCTTCGATAATGGCTATGGAATGTAATGCACTCTAACTTTTTTATGTCATTCGTTTTTTATTATAAAATAGAATAAAAAGAAGATTTTAAAAGGAAACCAGAATAATACAAAAAGAAAAAAGTCTGTATATCAATAATATTTTCATCGAATTTTTTGACAGAAAACTTCTATTGAAAAATTCTCGAGCGATACTAGGCAGATACTAGAAGAAATGAAGAACGTGTTAAAATTTTTAAAACCGATTAGTTTGGTGCACTTTGCGAAACGATATCGGCATACAGCTCGTCTACCATGCAAAGTCTGCGTTGTTGGTGCAAATGGGGTAATCGGACGTCATTTGGCTACGTATATGAAAATGAACTCAGGAGTTGTAAATTTGACCCTTTATGATACTGAAGAGATCGAAGGTATACGTGAAGACATATCGCATATAGATTACAATCCCTGGGTATTCGCTCACAGCGGTGATAAAGAATTGCATAATGCTGTAAGTTGCAGCGAATTTGTGATTGTGGTATGTGGTTGTCGTAAACAAGAAGACGTGGACGATCACAAATTATTTGAAGCTAACGCTCCTATTGTTATGAAAATTATGGAGGCCATTATGGAAACTAATCAGAAACAGCCTTTCATTCACATTATTACGGAACCGGTAAATACTTTAGTTCCTTTGGCCGCATTGGCTTTGCAAAAATATGAACAATACGATGAACGCAAATTATCTGGCAGCACGTCCATAGATTTAATGCGGGCTCGCTTGATGTACGCCGAGTTTTTGCATGTGGACCCATACAAAGTGCAATTGCCCGTTATAGGTGGTCGCTCTGAAAAAACTATTATACCTTTGTTAAGCGTACGTCAACCCTCGGAAAATATGACGAAAGAAGAACGTGACAAATTTTTGAAACGTTTACGGACGGCTGACATGGATGTTATGAATGCGAAATGTGGTGAGGCTTCCGCTCAATTGTCGGTGGCTGTTGCCGCATCAAGATTCTGCTATTCTGTTGTCGAGGCCATCCGCAGGAAAAGTGTCAAGGATGTGGCGTTTATACCATGTAAAGAAATACGTGAAGATGTCGATTATTTTTCTACAAGATTTCTGTTGGAAGAAAACGGGGTTCAAGAAATATATCCGTTGCCTAATATTGATGGGGAGGAGGAAGCGTTACTTGAAATAGCCATTAAGGAGATTGAAGCGGCTTGTAAAATGGCTAAGGATTACTATGCAAAGCATGGAAAAGGTGAAGTCAAAAAGGAAGATTGTCAGGAAGAAAAGGATAGTAAGAAAGCTGGGAAAGAAGAGAAAAAAACCGGAAAAGAAGAGAAGAAAGAACAGAAAAAGGAAAAAAAAACAGGAAAGAAGAAATAATATTTCGGTATCGCTCGTCGGTTTATTATTGAAATGTATATATTTTGAAAAACATATCACAACTAATTAAACATGAACAGATATTTCTCTTATAAAATCTTGGTGTTTTATTTCTCAAGCATCATGTGTAAATCCCAATGTAAGACGAGTATCGGTATGAACGACTTTTGAGAAAAGATACAAAAATATAAGTTGATTCCTTAAGTCGCACTGTTAAAATAGGACGTATCATCTCAAAACTTTATTTAGAAAAAGAGTCGATGACGTTTTTTTAACGCTCTTTGAAAGTCGTCATAATCATAACGAAAGAATGGGCCGACCATTACGGAAGAAATATCAACTTCCTCTTTTTCTTGATTGCAGGGAACAACACTTTTTTTTTGTATTTAATGGGCTGTGTTTACTCTTAAATTACAGCCTTAAATTATGTATAAAAATTCCCCATGTAAAAAGAAATTAAATAAAGGAAACAAAAACTAAATTTCCATATTCTATAATATTGTTGGCTGGATATTTTTACCATGTATATCTTAAAGCTAATGAACAATGAATAAAAACTCAGAAAGGAATGTCTTGATCGATTTGGGCCATTTCCAATACTAGCCTGTTTGCAAGAATTTCCGGGGAATGTTTATCACAGGTATCATAGAGATTGGCTGATGGACAGGCGAGCAGATGGGCTTGCTTAGGTATGTTCAGAGCTTGACAGTGGCCATAATTATATATTTATTTCATTGGCGTTTTGAAAATGTTTTGTTAATATGAATACATACGTACTCATGCTTATTTAGGGCATAAAAACAAGAAGACGAAAATGTGATTATGATTCCAAAGGGAATATAGTTGTATCCCACGAGAACTTGAGATTCATTTAAATTTATACCGATCGATATGAAATCTATTTTGGAATCGATTTAAATGCATCTCTTCGTCTGATGTCCGCCCGCCTATTTATGTCCTCAACTCATAGAACGCAATTGTCGATATATTTTAATTAAGTTTAATAGGGCGATGAGTTTTGGACTAAGGACGAATTCTATTGAACACGTGATTGTATTTTTTTTAAGACAACCCCATGCAAAGACTTGTTTTGAAAAAGTCGGAATAATGAAAATAAGTTCCATTTTTCATTTTCCGTCCGCTTTGGTGCAATAAACCTGCCTGGAGACTATAGCAACGAAAGGGATTGGACCAGATTAAATTTTTGAACTCTTAACATGAAAATTAATACGAGATAATGATCTGTAAATAACTTCACTACGATAAGGGTGCACATCATGCGCTTATTTCTGGACGTCTTCATTTACAAGATTTACTCATGAAAGATAAGCCTATGACGACAAAGTACAATTTTCCATTTTATTATAAATAACCAAGAAGAAGTTGAAGAATTTTACGCGGAGAAGTAGTGTAGCACATATATCGTTTGTCCTTACCCGTTTTAAATCGACTTATTTCTTACATGTAATTACGGCAATATACGAATAAACAATGATTGTCCCAAGCGTCAATTGAGTGCAGTCCGTCTCCGACTCATTTAATAACTCAAAGGGTTGAGGAAAAATTGATCATCGAATCTCTTTTTTACTCTTCTAAAGTTATTGAGAATAACACGTATAGATATTCCATTAGTTGTTTTCAAATACTTTAATGAATTTCTCGATTTGTTCTCTTTTTTTAATGAGCGTTTGTTTATCTTAATAAATAACTTATTGTAAGAGAAAAGAGAAATTTTCTCTCGAAACCTGATGAAATTTCAAATGGAAGTAAGTTTGCAACATCATCCGATAACTCATTTCATATTTGTTAGCTGTTCAGCGAAAAAAATCAATTACTGCTGGTAAGTCCCTTCAAACCATCGAAAGAAAAGCAGATGTTAGCTCATGACAGCATGATTTTTGAAAAATTCTATTAAATCGAACATTGCAAAAATTTGACAACATGTACTGGATAGAACATTAAAAGGCATAATTGTTTTCGTTTCTTTTCTTAACAGTTTATGCACGGTGAGTACTTTAACATATGTTTCTATTTCTAAGATACGATAAACTCTAACAGCCTACCTCAACAGGGGTATTGAGAACTGATTTTGACGTTGGTCGTGTGCAGTTAATATGCGAAATAAGTGCAAATGCAGATATTTATCACGCATTTTTTAGTTTCATACGTCTTCTTATATTGATGTTTCCCACACCACAAAATCACGTGTGCGATCAATGCTTTACGAAAGTTATCTTCTGTCCGCATAATATGTATTTTCTTTACAAAACCAGAGACTGTTTATAAAATAAAAAAAAAATAAATAAATAGGGGTGCGATCGAATTAACTTATCTTTCACCCTCCTCTCTCTTTCAATGAGGAATATCACTAATATTTTCTGGTAAACAACATTAGAACACCAAGCGTTGCATAGGAAGCTCTACTTTTGAAAAAAAGTAAAAAAATATCTTCTTTATACCAATCACCGAAGAATAGGGAGTATATTAATTTTATTGAAACGTTTGCAACGCCCAGGAGAGAGCTTCAGAGTGTCCGTCTCTCCGTCTGCCGGTCTCTTGTAAAGATACTACTTTAAATTTGGCACAAACATAGGAAGTCCTTGCACGTAGGTTGGTATTAAAACTTGACCAAATCCGTAAAAGGACATGGCTACATGGCTAGTGAGCATGGCAATTGTTATGTTATAGTTTGCGAAACCACTCAATCTCTTCCGTGCAAGCTGTGAAACTTCCGTACAAGAAAAATGGAGCAAGATCCCTGTTTCCTACACAAGAAAAATTATACAAAATATGTTAAAACTTTTAAATGACTTTAATAAGCAAAAATGGTATCCCAATGAATGTTAATTCAATAATATGCCGTTTTTTATTTTCGTATCCTTCCTTAAATAAAACAAAGCCAATATTAGTAACGTTATGTTTTTTGAGTCGTTCGCGTTATTGAATTTTCTTATCTGTTGAAATAATGTTTTGTTTTTGTTTCTTTTATATTTTAATATGGATTCCAGTACAAAATAGTAAACAACGTTTTTATGGTTAAACAATGGACTAAGTTTAGCAAGCGTTTACTTTTTGTCGATGGAAAAAATCCAATATTAATGTGACTCACTGTATGTGTTTTTTCACCTGGAGCAGCGTTTTTTTTTTTTTGCCAATCACGGCAAGCAGATTGGATCAACCAAATATTGGTAACGCGTTATGGAGCAAATTAATGTGTTCCAATTTCGCCAATAATTGTACCAAAAATACGTCTAGACTTCTTGGGAAATGTAAATGCTGTTCGCAGTAGACGCCAGCTATGCCGTCACAAATTTTGTTAATAGTAATTACAATAGTGGGATGCTACGCGAAAGAAAAGCGTAGAACAAGCTTCTCTTAAACAGAAACAATTATTTTTTGTTGTGAAAATTGATGCTTGAAAGTCTCTGCCGCATGGATTAAACACTCAAGGCAAGAAGTTAAATCTAAAAGACTCTACTATAGTAGAAATACATTTTATTTATTTTCTGTCGCACTCGCAAACTTTTTGCTATAAAGAGAACTGGGGCTTTCCTAAATCAGTTACTTAGGTGATGGATTAGAGCAAAGAATGCATTGAAGCATCCGTTTCATAAATCTAACAACATTCGGCAATCGAACATGCTTATTCAGTGACGCCAAACATGTAAATTTCGTGTTCAATGATTAATGACACGTTTTCCATTATTCATATAGTATTGTTGCGAAATTCGCTTTTCTCGGATACAGTTCGTGTCACTAGATCGTGGATATACTTTTTAAGAGAATAATACACTTGTACGTTTTCACTACAAGACTGCTTTATTTATAGTCAATTTGTTTAAGGGTAGGACTGTTAACATTTTACTTTGGCAATACTCTCGACTTCTCAACACTAATATTCTTTTTCGACTCAAACGTTCTTGTCCGACTGACTCTGCCTTTTGCAAGTGTATTTACATACATTTTTACAAGCATATTACTATTAGCTAAGTTCATAGCTTTATCTTTAACCTGCTAAACTGCTTTTCCACTAATCGTTTTCCTTGACCGGCAGCTGCATGACGTGCCACGAATATGCACTTGAGTTCTCCCCCTCTAGGGAATTTATTATGTGGAAAAATCAATTAATTGGCAGGAACTGGATTTGGGACTTCCGTAACAATATATTATTCTTGTGTATCCACATGATTATTCAACAGGCTTTCATCTCGGCGCCTGCTTCTCTATAAATGCAATTTTCAATTCCTGCGGCACATTTATAACAATTCACTAAGTCAGTTCGGGGGATCACTAATAAAACAACAAGCTTTAGACAAAACTTTCGACTTTATTCGTTAACATAATCTCTTTTAAGACCACAACATTGATTGCAATGCCTTTTTTAAAAATTGTTCTGAAAATTCCAAAGGGAATGTTACTAAAACAACTGTAACTTGTAAAGCAATGGTTGGACTGTCATGAAGTTTTGACACAGGCCGCTTGAAAGTTAGTATTACCTAAAAAGCCATACGAGTACGTCAAAAGCGGCCGCATCTATATGCCGTTTCATAAGCTTATTTGGCGAGCGATATATCCATATGGGGTCGGGTTGCTTTATTCGACAAACGAATTAAAATGTCCATCGATCATAATGTTGATCGATTAAAAAAATGAGATTGTTTCAAAAACCCTACGAGTATTTTTCCATTGATTAACAATAGAATCGTAACTTCCTACAGTTTTTAATCTCATTCTGACCGTCTATAGAATAATATCGCTCAATGAAATCACGGAATACACACATTCCATACTCTTTCATTGTTGAGATGATAAATATGTTGCTATTGGATGATACTCTACCTGAGAGACTTAGATGGCAAACGAGCGTCATTTGATGTTTGTGCTAACGTAACAAGTGTAGTGTTGCTACCTTAGCAACCATTTGACTGTGTGAACTTTCATTCTCAGTATTTGTTTGCGTAAGTACTCTATCAAAGATTTCTCGCTATGAAGTCACACTGTACCAAATGGTTACAAAGCGAGACCATTTACACAAATACGTGTTATATATATATATGTATATATATGTATATATATATATATGTGCTGTAAGGTAAGATGCTCCTTATGCTTCTACTTTTTCATCCGACTACTTTTAGCATTACATTCATATCACTGAATTGTACTTTTTAGAGTAGTATAGGTTTTATGTGCAATTCTTCTTCTCGTCTTCACCATTTCAACATTACGGTTCAACTCGCTTGACTCGACTTTACAAGCAAGTCACCAGTACCTAAATTGAGCGCGTCATTTTCATAAGTTATAAGTCTGTCAGTCATTGCTTACAGCTATGAATCTGCTGCTATTCATTTTCGGCATCCTACCCAGTAGAATTTTCGGTTAATTTCTTTAATAGTTTCTATGACACTAAAGTACGCTCCGTTCGTCTCTTTGCGGTGTTTTTTTTTTATTTCTTCGAACTTGGCTCGTAGTTCCGGTGCGTGAATTGTTTTCTTTGTACTGTACGCCATGGAAAACGCTCTCTCAGTAAGTCCAATATGATTTTGCTGCGGGGCTTTTCTTACTGATTTTCTCCTTGGTAGGACATTCGCCTTTCCACCAACCTTCGAGAACTTTACATTTGCCTCCACTACGATTCGATGATATTTTCTTTACACAAGTCATTACAATGTGGTTAAAAAATTATCCTCTGATAGTAAAGTCCCATGTTGCTTCATGTAAGGTGATGCTTTGTCTTCGCTGAGATTGAAAGAGAATTGTTTATCATATACTGCTGCAGTCTGGCTATACGATTGTTTCTCTGCAGTTAATAATAGCTCCTTGCACGTATTTTGATCAGCTGTATCTAATGGTGAAAATGATACAGTAGCGTAAAATATCAATGCACACAATACTTAAAATCGATGATTTTGGTTAAACGATGATTAAATGGAACGATAGTTGGTTGCAAAAAGACCAGTAATGGTGATTAACAGATGCAAAGCCATCCTCTTGAATGACAACGCTCGGACACATGTTGCAAGAGTTGTCAAGGATACACTGTTCTAGCTCGAATGGCAAGCTCTGTCGGACCCATTGTACTCACCAGACATAGCGCTTTCCGATTACCACTTGTTCAGGTCAGGAATGGCTTAGCTAACACGCAGTTTCGAAATGTTGAAGAAGTGCGATAATTGGATCGCTACCAAACGAATATCGTTCTTTCGACACTATATGTATTGCTATGCCGTCAAAAAGGTCGGAAAACTTCATAGAAAATTATGAAAAATAGATTGATGAATACATATTGTGCCAAGTTTTCTCAACAAAAGCCTTTAAAATACATACCAGTGTCTAATACCTAAGGTGATTAAGGGTGGAATCAAAGTGAAGTGCCCAAAATTGATCAATAAGGAAGGCGTCGTCGTATATAACGTTGAAGCCAGATCAGGCAAAGCTGTAACTAACGACTGCACAAAATTTAAGAAGGTTTGTCTCGGAACTTTTTATCCGCTTGATCGTGACTATTTTCGCTTTCTGTACAAGTTACTCTTAACATTCTAAACCCGCCTCAAAAAAAATCCTGTGAAAATCATTTGGTTTTGATGGACAGAGTCGTAAAAAGATGAAACATTTACTACAAGGGCTCCGTGCTCGATTAAGAATTGAAAGTTCCGATCTGCACACATACTCGCCCACAAAAGATTAGAAACCCAGAGAATTTTGAAAAAAGGCCGACAAGTTTTCCATATTTTCGTCGCAACTTTTGCTTGTTTGAAGATGTTTTAGAAAACTTGCTACTCAAGTGATTGTCAAAAGCACATTGGCATTCGGTTCACAAATGATCCAGCTCAGTTTTATTTACACGTCCACAATTAACGAAGAAAGTTTAATTTCAATTTGATCCCAATTTATTGTAAACCTATATGTGTTTAATTAAATTGGAAACAAATTCAAAGAACAGTTTTATCATTAATTCTGAATGTGTTAGTAAACCGAGCGGAACCATTTTCGGGGCGAACGTGAAGGTGGTCCTAACGAACGCCACGGAATTGACAGTTACAAAGGAAAACATATAAAAAATTTCCTTTGTTTCTTCGAGTTTGTTTCAGTGTCTTCTTTATTGTGGGCGTGCATGTGCGCTAGTGTAAACTAGTGTTAGTATTTTACATAGTTTCGTGGGTATAAGTCCATTATGTGACACATTGCAATAATCTCAGAGTCCCCAATTACTTTGGGGAACGTACAGTAGTAATACTCTTCGATGTCAGCACTAGCTGACCTCAAACAGAGATACGGGAGTTCACCTAAATTGAAATGTCTGGCCTTTGTGAAGAAAAAAAAGACAAGTTCAGCCTTCTGTTTCATTCTTCTAATAATGATTTATCAAACCAGCTAAAAGTGCTTAAGTCGAGGCAGAAGATGTAATATGGAGTCCATGATTATACATATATTCCAATCCAGTTGGTAATAAAGATTAAGTCCGATTGTATAACCTTAAATTGAATTGATATTAATATACTATTATCTGATGAATTATATCCAGAGTGATGTATTGTGAGCATTATGCAGCTGGATTAATGAAATTAGTTGCCACGAATCAAGCGAAGTGCTAAATAGCATAAGTAAATTTATTATTTATAACGTTATTTATAACGTTAACTAATAAAAAATAAACGCGCGATCACTTTACAGGATTATATAATTTCAAATAGATCCCTACGGATGGTGGTAAGACATCCTTTTTGGCAGGCCCTCGCGAGTCAAGCCATTTATCATTGTTTGTGCCGAATTTCACCTTTCTATCTAAAAGGGAGATCAAGATGATCCTCTTGAATGAAATTAGCGTAAGAGTAAAAAAAGCTGAGTCTAGACGTACGAATGTCGTCTCACACAAATAAAACTCGTTCAAAATTGTTGAAGTGTTACATGCCCTGTAAAAATTTTTTTATAGATCGAATATTAACGTCGATCAAAATGATATGCCCGGTAGTTCCAGTGTTAATAAAAAAATATTTTAGGAAAACTTTAAAACCTCTCCAAGATAAAAATTGAATTTTG